TCGGTGATAAGAATACATCGGTCAAGGTGCCTTTGTCAGCTCATTCAATTTGGCACCTTGCCCAATGTATTCATATCACCGTAACTGCAGTGGGTCCATCGTTCATTGCATAATTATCCAAATTCTCAATTCAGTATATGTTTTTAAATTTAGATATAGTCTTAGAAATATTAAAACAGAACCTAAAACATGTTGTTGTTACTCAGAGTTAGATGCTATGCGATCTTCAGAAAACTGACCTATTTTCAGCCTAATCTACATAATTTTATATCTCTTAAAATAACTTGGATTTGGTAAAATGGTTCTCTTGCAAAATTTTCTCAACAATGAAATTTCAACAGAAAAACAAAAAATGACATCGTCATTAATGACATCATGTAATTTCATTGACCTAGTTTTAAAATCCGAGTGTGAAATGAGCTTGCCATATTAGGAGTTAATAAAAACCTCATTGTATAGAATTATACAGCTATTTATGGCATCGCTAATCTCCACGGCGATCAACTTCGATCCTATCTGACAAGATTAATTCCAATTTTAGCTTTTACGTTTACCAACTTTCATTGAATATGTCACATAATGCTCGACTTTTTCTATCGATAGTCAACTTTTTATCTGGGCATTACAACACTTCATTTCCTATTCTAGAAGTTTCTAATCTCGTTAATTTTATACTAATCACAATTTTAAAAAAAAAACTGCTGAACATTTCACAATAATCAATGTTTTTAATTCCAAATATGGATAGAATTTTAGGTTTTTGTTTATAAATGAAGAAATTTTTTTCAAACTTGCTAGATTATTTTAGACCCACTTAATTATTTGGCAATACCAAATATTATCTTTTATTCTTTGTTAAAAACAAAGTTATTTTTTTCCTGAAATTTCAAAACATTTTATCAAAACTTTCAATGACAATAATGACATTGATGATGATTAAGTGTAATCTAAGAAGATGCAGACTGAGTTTCAGATCCACATGAACTTTTCTCATTGCACACTGCATGGCATTACCTAGATCTCTTTCAGCCCAAACAATACAATGGTACAAATTCTCTATTTCTATTTATTTTAATTTGTTTCATTTATTTCTGTGGGAAACTCCAACTGCCATGCATGATCTGAACAAATTGTGAAGTACCATGATTTCTTGGGTAAAATATTGAACCAATCAAATTCTCTGTTAAATAACAGGAGAGAAAAAAGGGTATTGAAATCTTACAATGGAACTAAACTATTGACTGCAACAGGTCACCAACCTGGAGGGCCAGGGTTCAATCCCAGCATAGGTCGAGATAATACCTTCAAATTTTTCAACCTGGTTTCCCCGTCAGTGATGCAGATCGGGGGGGCTGACATGGAAAAGGCATCTAGTCGAGGCTCTGTGTGCTACAGGCTGCGTACGTTAAAGATCCTTCGACAGTTGGAAATCGAAAAAGAGCAGCCTAATGCGGCTGTCCTGGCAAAATGGCGTTGCGCTTCTTCATTAGCCCCAAAGGTGCAAAAAAATAGAATGTTAAACTCCATTCATTTCATTTATAATGACATCTCACAAAATCGTACGCCATTCTTCTAAAATTTTTAATTTCTACCCAACCTCTTTATGATTTTGTATTATGATCAATTTGTTCGACAAACATCATCATTGCACTCTAGATATTATAATAACAGATGTTATAATGGTTCTCAATGAAACTAGTGTGTATATCAGACACTGTGATTATCGAACACGGAAGTGATCTTATATCGTCTCAATATATCATAGATAGCCAAATACAGAAAATAATCTAGAAGCGACATTTGGGAATAGAAATCACATTAAATAACAGAACACAATGTTATGGTATACTACTCCTTAGTTTTATTGGGCCTTTTGTGATTAAGCATTTTTCGCAATTAGTGACACTTATTTTTTGTGGAATTGCAGGCACTTCAGATATCTGATTGAAAATTGGAATGAAGCAAATTGATTCTATCAATGTCCCCGATACACATACAAATTTTTGAATACTTCTTTATAATCCCTTTAAATGCGGAAGTGATATAACATGGTCTGTATATATCATAGATATTATTATATTAACTATATTACAAGTACAATCTGTAGCCGACTTCTTATAATCAGATTAACTATTTCCTTTTCTTTATAATCCCAAAAGGTGAATAGCCTTCAATAAGACGGTTTTAATCTTACCAGATCTGAATACTCAAAATATAATCATATCCAGGTTGATGTCTGCCTGGAACCTTTAAGGAAAAGGGTTAATTATTCAAAATGTCTCAGAGACGAAAAAATGTCCCTCATAGCAAACTGCATTGTTCTGTCTGAAATCCAGTGGCAGAGCCAAAGGAGAGGCAGAAGGGGCACCCACCCCCCTTCGCAGGTGCGAAAGCTAACTAGGTAAGAAAAATTCGGGCAATCTCAAATATTTCGCCCCCCTCGGACGTAAACCTGGCTCCACCACTGCTGACATCATTTAAAGAAAAACAGGATGTAAAACTCTATGTAATATCATTTTATTTCACATCCAAACAACATGTCAACTAGTATGAGAAAACGACATGTCAACTAGTATGAGAAAACGACATGTCAACTAGTATGAGAAAACGACATGTCAACTAGTAAGAGAAAACGACATGTCAACCAGTATGAGAAAACGACATGTCAACCAGTATGAGAAAACGACATGTCAACCAGTATGAGAAAACGACATGTCAACCAGTATGAGAAAATGACATGTCAACCAGTATGAGAAAACGACATGTCAACCAGTATGAGAAAACAACATGTCAACCAGGATGAGAAAATGATGAATCGTTATGCTAGAAATGTGTTCTGTCTGCTGATGGACCTGAATCTATCATTGACTCTATAAATCGTTTATTGTGTTAAAAGATCTAACTGGGTTCACACCGGAATGTCTGATACCAAAATACTAGAAAAATGTTGCTTTTTATGACCTGTGTTTTATATAAGGTGTGACTAATTCTAAGTATGTTCACACCTGGATGACTGATTTATTAAACAAAATGACTGATTTATTAAAATAAAATGTCTGATTTATTAAAACAAAGTGTCTGATTAATTAAAGCAAAATGACTGATTTATTAAAATAAAATGTCTGATTTATTAAAACATAATGTCTGATTTATTAAAACAAAATGACTGATTTATTAAACAAAATGACTGATTTATTAAACAAAATGACTGATTTATTAAAACAAAATGACTGATTTCTTAAACAAAATGACTGATTTATGAGAACAAAATGACTGATTTATTAAAACAAAATGACTGATTTATTAAAACAAAATGTCTGATTTGTGTTAAAACAAAATGATATTATCGTTTCAGGTGTTACTAGATCTAGCTCGTGTGATATTTGAAGAACAAAGTAACGTGGCCAATCTGATCCATAAAATCATGATGCATACGCTGTCCTTGTTACAGTGTGAACGATGTCAAGTTTTACTGGTAGACGATTCTCAACATCTAGTAAGTATCAGATTTAAACATTTTTGGTATTTCTGCTTTCCTGATCACAGAAAGTAGATGTTGACTACTCTTTTTCTAAAAACATGGATTGGACTCCCATTCGAAAAAACTCTTAAAATGTTAAAATCATCTCCTTCATCTGATTGGTCGATCACTAATTTGATTTCAAATTTCTGTATTTGGTGAGCGTACAAAATTTGTCCACAGAATAACAATTTTTGGCTCATATCAGTTTCTTAGCTTTTTAGCAAAAGGAAGTTGTTGATCAACTAGTTTTATTTTGTAAATGACAGTGAAATTTGTTATTTAATGATGGTGGCTCATTATTTGTATTGATATTGGTAAAGTTGAAATTCCAAGATGTGTTTCACTATAAATATACTATTCAGGATCACAAAAAAATTCTCCTCGAAAATGATTGCTTGTACAAACTCACAAAATCTTGTCCACCTACAAATAATCGATTTCATAACTTCATAATTAGATGGTTTTAATTTTTTGTATTTTTGAAATTTGCTTGAATTACAATTTTCTAATTAAGATATATTTTAATGTAATTTTAAGTTTTTGTTTCTTTCCATTTTTTGTAATTTTCTAATCATTTTGTTTTTTCTTCAGCATTTTTCTGATCTTTTCTTTCTTTATAATTTTGTTGCAGGTCAAAAATAAACCAAAAAAAACAAAAACGGTGATTATTTTTGAAAATTATTTTCATTGTTCAAGACCCACACACCACACTTCCTGAAGATTCTTTGTTTTTTACCTAGACCCACCCTCCAAATTTCAGAAAATGTGAAAACATATCCATTCACTAGAAATAGATTTTCAAAAATGTTATACCCTCCCTAATTATCCAACCTACTAGAAGTGAAACGTAGAGCCCTTGTATTTTTTTAGTGAATCTAATTTTGCTTATTACTCTACATGAAATGGAATTTAAAATTGTTTTAGAAGGACTTTGTGTTGATAGAAATATATTATTTTAATATATAGATTCAATTATCAATATTATTATTATTATTATTATTATTACACTCTTCTACCAGTGTCATTTCAACTGAAAAATTCTTCTGTTTAAAATTCCTGTCTGTAAAGAACCACCAAAACTATCAGTACTGTTTAGAAGTAGATCTTTGAATTCATTTAAAAATAATTGGTAAAATTAGATTTACTGACAAAAATACGAAAGTAGGTATTTGTAAATTGCAATGAATCTTCAAGTATAACTGACTGCCATGGTTTAATTCTGGGTGAAATATTTGTTTTGTTTTGGTTGTTTAAATGATTCTGTCTTTCATTGGGAAATTAATATTTCGGTCTGGGCAACTTTATGTTTAGTTTTGCATGTTTTTTATTCTGTTTGTCTTGTTTATCAAAGAGGTATAGTCATAAACAGAATTTAATTTTCGCCAGATGTATCCCTTATTAAATTGAAGATACATCATCTAGTTTGTCTACATTTTGAATACAGGATTATATGACTATATCCTTTTCTGAGTTCATATTTCAATGAACCAAACTCTGTATATTTCTGTTGTTTGTTTGTTTGTTTTTGAGGCCAGATTTGTTTATTTTCTGGGTTTTTTCCAAAACGGGAAAATGACATTTTTGATTTTATTATATATTATTTTAGATATTTTATTTTTGTAGCACAAATAGGCCGAAAAAAAACTCACCCACATATTAGTTAATATAAAATTAAATATTAAAATATGAATTAATTTGTAACCCTGTAAAGTAAAAAAGTCTGGTCTAAATGCATGTTATTATAGTAGCATGTATGTTCGTGACTAACACTGGGACCTGGGATATGTTAATGGATGATATTTTTTGAGTTTTTTTTTAATGAATACAATCTTCTACTATTATAAATACACGTATTAATCAGAACTAGATTTTTATTGTGGTCTATTTGCTGTTTTAAAATAAAGCCAGACATGCCTGGCTAATATCTTCAAACAAGCAAGGTGCAGACTGTAATTTGTATCACAATGGCTGAACATGATGATAGATACAAATTCATACATGTTCGATAATGAACAATACCCAATACATACAGGCATACAGCACAGTTCTTACTTAATATGTACAATTTGTATGAAAAAACATCCAGTTTTTATAAAAATTCTAGTTTTTATTCGTTATTAAAAAAAAAAAAATGTGTATTTGTCGTTTTGAATTTCTATTGAGGTGAAAATAATAATTATTTACACAGTATTTATCACCATGATAAAATCAATATTTTTTATAAAAACTTCATATTCTTTAGGTTCGATTCATGTTCATTGTAGCCTATATTTATTTTTTATTATAAAAACGAGATCTTAGCAATTAGAGAGTAATGAATGTCGTTCAGTTTTGAGTTTTATAAAATTTTACTACAATGCAGTTGAATTTACCGTGTAGCCTAATTATTTTTCATGATTTAGAAAAATCAATTTATGAATACATAATATACACAAGAAAACTAAGATCTAACATAAAATACTAAGATAGGACACAATTAACTGTTTACTTTGTACTGAGAAAGTCCTTGAAATTGGAAAATCTTCTCAAAACAGGGTTCGATTTTCTGACTCCACCCTCAATAACTGTTTTAAAACTGGTCTATCAGAGAGACAATGACGGCCTATTGTAAAGACTTAATATTACAAATTTCATACTTGCATAGACCCCTATCTCTTTAGTACAGAACAGAGACCACTTCTCTGAGTAAAAGTCCCAAGTTGGAACTAAACAGTAAGCAGATATTGTTCATGAGCTCATCAAGTTCTTTTCTATCCAGAGTTATCTCCCATCAAATAACTCTCCTATCTATTTCAGGGTTTGTTTTCACGGGTGTTTGATTTACAACCTAGTGATTTTGATAACGATGATACCTACAACCGGGAAGGGTGAGTTCACTTTCTATTTTACATATCCGTCATTTTTTTAAAACAAAATTCAAAATCCAACAAACTCAAATCACAAATGATGAGGAGTTTTATGTCCTACTTTTCTGCACCTTATTAGGCTAATAAAGACGGACATTGCAATTTAGTGTAAAAATGAGGGTTTTTTAAAGACCATAAACTATTTCTAGAATTATCCCTCATTATAGATTGGTAATTTTAACTGTGTCATATGTAGATCTATAATCAATTTAATTAATTTACAAGGCTTAAAGCTTATTTTAAAAAAAAAATGAAAAAAGAATCAATTTGGAGTTTCAAATCACGAATTTACGCTCTTTGGAAAAATCTTTCACCCAATCTCCAGATTATTCAAGGCAAATCTCCAGATTTTTTTTCCTGACCTGTACACATGTATGTATTACTCAAACGTTGTTTTTAACTGTGTATATATAATGTATCTTATTGTGTTATTTTAGACCTCAAGAACCAAGATTTCCTATCAATATTGGTATTACAGGGCTGGTGGCTAGAACAGGGGAGGTAAGCTGTTTTTGACTTAATAAAGACCCCTAGGGGTACCCTTTGGCACCACAGGAGAGACCTGTCTACCCTCTGAGGCTATTTTAAGATATTGCCCTAGCCTAAAAAGTATTTTATGAACACAAGAGTTGGAATACTACATGAAATAATTTTTTGTTGTTAATTTTGTAGATACTGAATATACCAGATGCCTATAATGATGACAGATTCGACCCATCTGTAAGTAAACCCTCTTCTCTAATGTTGAAAACTTTACCTTCATTTCCATACCAGGTAGCCACAACATTTCAGTGAGTTAGACACTTGCTGACCGCTTGAATTTTTCAATTAGGTTCCCGCAGTTCAGGTCAGAGAGACTGGGGTAGTCAATCATAGAGAAGTTTCCCTCGATTCAGTTTAGAGAGACTGACCTAGTCATTCAGATGAGACTATAAACCGAGGCCCTGTGTGCTACAATTGGAAAGAATTGACTTATGCCTGTTTTGATAAATTGCTGCCCTCCTCATGTATTGACAGAAAAATAATTCCATCGTCATTTCTTCTTTTAATTTTACGTCTCTGTTTCTAGGTTGACGAGGATACAAATTTCCGAACTCAGTCGATATTATGTATGCCCATTATCAACGCCTCAGGTAAAATCATTGGAGTCATGCAATTGGTTAATAAAGTTGATAAAACACCATTCAATAAAAATGATGAAAATATTTTTGAGGTGAGTTATCTGTCTTTAACCAGGGTCAGAATTTCACGAGTGCCAAGAGGGCAGATATACAAAATCTAATTTGATAATACACAGTACCTTGGTATTATAAATAGAATTTACAAGATACAATAATATAATACAAGATTTTAACCACAATAAACATGACAGTACATCTTAGTGTTATAATTATGGATTTAAAATATCAAAATACAAGATTTTGTCTTATTCGAAAAACATTAAATGTTCTTGAAAATTGCAGGACAAAATATTAGGATTTAAAACTCAATTTTTTGACATATTACATCAAAAAATCACGTTAAATAAATTAATGTTTCAGGCATTTGCAATATTTTGTGGTATGGGAATAAACAATACTCAGATGTATGAGACAACGTTAAAAGCCATGGCGAAACAACGGATAGCTCTAGAGGTCTTATCTTATCATGCTACAGCACCTCTAGAAGAGGCCAACAGATTGAAGGTAAGTCTAGAAATTACATTATTAAAATCAAGACCTCAAGTTTTAGATGCTTTAACCTAGCATTGAAACATGCGCATCTATCCCTTTAATGATAGGCCTACTAAGGACATGACTTTTAATATTATGAAAGGTACATTACCTCTAGGACCAAAACATTAAAATATTTGTCCAAAATGTGTCTGTGTTTATCAGTGGACTTACCTGGTGTCAAAACTATACGACATAAACCCTCTATCATACAATAAATCCTTAAAACTAGAAGCGTGTTTCAATAATTATTTAGTTTAATAGATATATTTTATTATATAGAGATTCTAATCTTTAGTCATGACACCTGGTAATTCCAACTGATGAATATACACTTGTAGACCAAGTTTGAGACTTTTTATGTCCATTCCATGAAGTAGTATCCTTTCAACCCAAAACTTGCTTGTCAAACTGTCAAAGGGAAGAGGGTAGAAGAAGGAGCTCATTATATCCACAATTATATGGTATTTGGATTTCATATACTTTTGGAAAGTAAGACAGCAAACCAGAGCAGGAGATTATATATCAGAAACGTGTTTATTATTTTCAGAAAATGAACATTGCGTCGTCTCAGAGATACAACCTATTAGACTATAGATTTAGTGATTTCTGTCTGGATGATGATGACACGTTAAAAGCTACAATAAGAATGTTTTTAGATCTAGATCTACTAGAGACCTTCCATATTAATTATGAGGTAAGTTTGATTTTTATTTTTTACACGATATTTTATTGACATAAATAAAAAAAGGCATTAAGGAACAGGTATTCACCTATATAACAATTACATCTCTTCCAATACAAACTTTTTATTATGTACAAAATGTACTTTGATATTCCTTTGTTTTAAAAATCCAAATCATTTGGAATATTTAACAGTGTTTTGACAGTTATCAGCTAGATTTCATGTCAGTCATATTGTTGAGGGATTTTCAACTCTCAGAAGGTTATACACTCCTTTACTTCTCATTGAATTTCCAGGTGTCTATGTCTACAAAAGATCTCATTTCAGATCAAATATTTTATTTTTTTTTTATATTTCTGATACTAGATATTTTGTCGGTGGATATTGAGCGTGAAGAAAAATTATCGAAACGTCACATATCATAACTGGAGACACGCGTTTAACGTCACACAAACCATGTTCTGTATGTTTAAAGTAAGTAGAGATTTTATGGACAAGTAGGGGATTTTTTCATGAACTTGGCATGATTGATTTTAGGAGGTGGACAAATCGGCAACTAGTAGTGATGGTAGACACTTGACCTACTGATTCATAAGAATTAAAAAATTAATTCCCCTTTGTATCAAATTGAAAAAGATGTTGAATATTCAGAAACTTTTTGGCCTTTTTTGGCCCTACACACTAAAATATATGGTATTTGGTAAATCAATGTCTGGTTGTAACTCACAATTACGACACTTTTACATTCTAATATTTTTGACAAACGGGGACCAGATCTCCGTATTAGAAGAAATAAAGAAAAAAGGATAGTTACGACAATTTTATATTATAATAATTTTTAAGAAACGGGGACCAGATCTCCGTATTAGAAGACATGAAGAAGAATGATTGATTAAAATTTGTGAAATATTTATTATTGTAGACCGGTCATATGAGTAATATATTAACGAACACCGAGAGATTAGCGTTAATTATCGGTTGTTTATGTCACGATCTAGATCACCGTGGTACCAATAATCAATTTCAAATCAAGTAAGTATCTTTTCTTTTTTTTCCCCTCCATTTTGATCTTCTTCAGATCACTTATTTTATGCAAATTTGTTCAAAAATATGATTTACTCTTAAAGGGACAGGTGCACCATTTTTTAGCAAAGTCAATCAGTAATAATGTTCACAGATTACCGTTGAAATTTACGCCTTCAAATCCAGAATTTTCTGCGTTTGAAAGTTAAAAACACATGTCGTTATTTCTTGAGACACTACCATGTATATATAGAAAAGAAATCTATAGAAATAGGAAAAGAAATTCCTTGTTTGAAGAATTTTTGAAGGAATTATGTGATTTTCGTACATTTCTAGTACCTCTGAAGACTATTTACATATATTCCAGACTCAATTCAACCCCTCAAAATGTCACATCTGTCCCTTTAAATCCAATACATTAAAATTTATACTGTTACATCAAGATATTTCCTGTATTTTTCAGAACGGACTCTCCGCTATCAGAGCTGTATTCCACCTCAGTTTTAGAACATCATCATTTTGATCAGTGTATCATGATCACTAACGCAAAGGTGAGTTTATATCATTACCTTGACAACAAGGTCGTAACTAGGGTCTTCTTTCTATGAGGTGAAAATCCTGTTGTTGTCGATCTTGATAGGGGTTTCATCGGAAAGCTTTCAGTAGACTTCAAACGTTATGTATTTATATTTTTAATTTCTTTTTGTCAAATTCAGCATTAAGCATTTGCCTGGATATAGTTACGACCACAGACAGTTCTAGTAGAATATTTTCTTTCTTGGCTTTTTTATCGTGTTGAGTGAGTTTGCTTCAAGCCCTGAAACCAAAACTAGCTGCCAAAAAACAGTTTAACTAAGCTAAATTCCAGATTTTAAGAAATACAGTAATCTGATTGGATAATAAAACCATATTAAAGAACGATTTTAGTGATTGACCAATCAGATGGCTGGAATTCTAATTCATTTCAAGTTAAAGACAATGCTCTTCTGATTGACCATCTAAGTTTATATATTTATGTGATGGTTTTTATTCTGTTTTTTCAGGGAAATGATATCCTATGTAATTTGTCTCAAGTTGATTATGAGAAAGTTCTGGGTTTATTAGAAAATGCTATTTTAGCCACAGATCTAGCCTTATATTTCAGGTAAGACAAGCGTATTAGATTAGGCCTACCATGAAATATTGTAGCTTGGGTGTAAAGTAGGATTTCTGGTTTCTTAATCCTGATAATAAAAAAGATTTCAATTGCCAATATTACAAATATGAATGTAAAGGTGAAACTTCTGTTGTAGAGCCAGGGAATGATAGTGGGATAATGTCTACACCTCTCAAATGTAGCAGTCTCATCTTAGGTTCAATGCTTGTAATTACCTAAAATATTTTTCAAAGAACTAAATATATGTATGACTAGATGTATAGAAATAATGTATTTGAGTTATGTCTATCAATTCTATTTAAGGTAAATGATGCTTTAATGTGAATAAAACTGTACAAATAATTGATGTTTGAATAATGTCATGTTTGAATAATGTCATGTTTGAATAATGTCATGTTTAATAATGTCATGTTTAATAATGTCATGTTTGAATAATGTCATGTTTGAATAATGTCATGTTTAATAATGTCATGTTTGAATAATGTCATGTTTGAATAATGTCATGTTTGAATAATGTCATGTTTGAATAATGTCATGTTTGAATAATGTCATGTTTGAATAATGTCATGTTTGAATAATGTCATGTTTGAATAATGTCATGTTTGAATAATGTCATGTTTGAATAATGTCATGTTTGAATAATGTCATGTTTGAATAATGTAATGTTTGCTATTTTATGTAGATATCGTGGAGCGTTTTTTCAGTTGGTGAATTCTGGAACAGCAGATTGGTCATTAGAAGAAAACCGAGACTTACTCAGGTTAGTCAATTCATAAAAACTTTCTCACAATGTTTCAGATACAAACCAATCATCAGGTTTTTGAACAGAATGACTACTGACAAAGATCAATAAGACTTGGGACAGTAACTTGTCATCTTGTGTGTTAAACTTCATTTAATCAATCTCTCTTTAGATCCATGATGATGACTGTATCAGACGTGTCAGCCATTTCTAAACCCTGGGAGGTCCAGAAGAAAGTAGCAGAACTAGTGGCCAGTGAGTTTTTTGAGCAGGGAGATCTTGAGAAACGAGAACTAAAAGTCCAACCGAGTGTAAGTTTTAATTCTATATTTTTGTAATTACTGCTGTCAGTTTTTGGAGAGCTATGATGCCTCACTAGTTAGTTGTTTGAATGTTGACTGGTCCTGGATATGATCACAGAATAGGCTGAACTGATTTGGAGATCTGTGGTGCCTCACTGTGTTAGACACTTGCTCGCTACCTTGGGTTTCTAGCATACGTTGAGGTGGTGCCATTGAATATTTCAACCAAGTTGCCCTACGACTTATGTAGAGAAGAGGGGCTGACAATGAGTTAACCTCTAGGGGTTCGTAAAATATGCTATCTAACTAGAGTAGACACAAATAGCCTAAAATTAAAACTACAAAATTAGTCTGATTTAGAACAGAAAAGTAGACTTTTATCTCATGTCAGCTAAAAAGCTGCCATATCATTTCCACTAACAAATTTCCTTCATCGCACACTTCATGGCCTTGTAGGGCATAATATATTTCTATTTTGTTTCATTTCTGTTACGGTGGCATATAATTGCCTCTAGTAGGATAATATGGCACTATTCTTAAAAATTTCCCTCATTGTACACCACATGGCTTTAATTTCAGGCCATGATGGACAGAGACCAGAAAGATTTACTACCTTCTATGCAAGTTGGTTTTATAGACAATATCTGTATGCCTGTATATGAAGTAAGTTAGAATGATTTCTGTTTAAAAACAGTATTTATTTCAAAACAATATAGGCCTACAAACAAACAAATATACAAATCATAAAAATGAATTGGGCGATTCAGAGACAAGCATGAAGATTATGTAAGTCTGTCGCGTGAATTGATTTCAGTTGTTTCCGAAATGTGGTGGGTGTTGTTAGTGAGGCAGAGCATGAACACACTCCTAAATCACCTTATGCCATTCAGGACCATAGCTAGCCAACAGTCTCGTTACTCCCCTGAACAACCTAGCTACGGTCCCTGAAGTTTTCTGCAAACGTTACTTGTTCTTTTGAGACATGGGCAAAATATTTCCAGGTTCTTTGTGATTGTTAACCCTTTTAACGCTAGCTGCCAGTTTACCAGTAACACAGTAACGCAATATATACCCGAGCAGCCGGTATACCGGCTGTTACTAAGTGACGTCATACAACGCTTGAATACGTTTTGCCGGGTTTTTTCATCTCATGGAAACAGCCTAACTTTAGGCTAATTACATATTTCATTTCATTTTTCATTGGTTTTTCTATTTCTAAACTTATCTTCTCTTTCAGGCCATCAGCAAAGTCTCTCCAAAATTAGAACCATTATTAAAAGGGTGCCAAGAAAACCGAAAGCGCTGGTCGGAACTGGCAGAAATCCATACTAAGAAATCTCAAGAAGAAAGTTTACAAGAAAAAAATGACGAAGATGAAGATGAGAAAGAGTCAACATCTTGACATAAGGCGTGTCGTCATGGTAGTTTGAGACGAACTAAAAAAGATTGTGTTTTTCTATGAAGAACATTGATCTACAAATCTTGGGTTAGATTTGACGAATCAAACTGCTTGACGACACAAAAATAAACATTTTAAACCAGTTTTAGAGAATCGCCAATAAACATTAGTATGTGAAGATGAAATATTATGGGATAGAATGGAGTTTATAAGCTCCTACTTGGACTAGTGAAAAAAATGGAGTTTTACGTCCTATTTTTCTGCTTATTGGGTCTAGTGAATGAAATAGAGTTTCATATGCTACTGTTCTAATTGGACCTGAAATAGAGTTCTGCGTTCTGCATTCTACTTTTTGCACCTGATTGGGCTAGCAAAGATCGACAACGCCATGCAGTGTGCAGTATGGGAAACAGTTGTGAGTTGATATGGAATCAACATTATGGATTGTGACTTTTTTTTATAAATGTTAATAAAATGGAGGAAGTCTCACGTTGAGACACATTTATAAGATGGAGAGTACTTGAATAAACAAATTGTGATGTTCCATTTATAGACTATTGAGTGAAAAATTATTACCGGATATTCGCAAAACATGATAGCCCTAATATGTTACGTATCATGGACATTTTTTTGACTTACTTTTGAAGTTATTGAATTTGTATTGAGCTCAAAAGGGGTAGAAGACAATTTTGTCAAAGTTAAAATATTCTCTGGGCCTGTTACTCTTTTTTTTTTAAATGTCCCAGATTTGAAGATCGTGTCAAGCAAAGATATTTTTATACACATCTAGGTCAGACTCTTGATATAAACAGGATCAGTCTATTTTGAATTGGTGTGAAATAAAAAAGGAAGTAGCACATGCATTGTGTTCTTCACTGCCTATCTTACCTCAAAATAGAGTGGACTTGTTGTATTAATGTTTTAAACTGTATCTAGATATATATAATATAATTGTCTGACCAGTGGCGGAGCCAAAGGGGGAGGGGAAAGAGGGGGCAGCAAGTTTTTCAGGCAAAAATCTCATAAGTAGGTTAGAGATTCGGGCAATTTCAGATATCTCGCCCAACCTCGGATGTAAACCTGGCTCCGCCACTGTCTAACTAAAGAAGACGTTATTTTGATTGTTTGATTGATATTTTAATGAGAGAATCGGGAAACGTCTGTTTTTGTTTGTTCCCAAGAATCACGAAAGAAATCAATCTAACTTACAGTAGCAAAGCTAGGCCGACCTCAGTTCTGGAGGAAGTCCAATATTTCTAATTATCTTACCTCAAAATAAAGTCGATTGCTCTTGTTTTTTGTTTTGCACTGTTTTTAGGTGTGCACATAGATCTTTTCTGTATTGGTCTCAATTGCTTCAATTTTGCAACAAATCACACCAAAATATCTGGCCACGTAGTCTCGAAGCGATCTTTGCGCTAGGATGTCCTAGAATCAATGTTAGATAATAAGAACCTAGGATGTCCTAGAATCAATGTTAGATAATAAGAACCTAGGATGTCCTAGAATCAATGTTAGAAGATAAGAACCTAGGATATCCTAGAATCAATGTTAGAAGATAAGAATCTAGGATGTCCTAGAATCAATGTTAGATAATAAGAACCTAGGATGTCCTAGAATCAATGTTAGAAGATAAGAACCTAGGATATCCTAGAATCAATGTTAGAAGATAAGAATCTAGGATGTCCTAGAATCAATGTTAGATAATAAGAACCTAGGATGTCCTAGAATCAATGTTAGATAATAAGAACCTAGGATGTCCTAGAATCAATGTTAAAAAAAAAGAATTTAGGACATCCTAGTGCTAAGATCGTTTCGAGAATACGTGGCCTGAGCTCTTAATTTAAAGTATACTGAATTAGTTGAATATCTGAGAACAATTGGTGATAGAGGTTGAAAGTTGACATCAGGCCGACTATCAGAGGCACTGGCTGTGGAATTGAAATTGTTCTAAGGTTGAGGAGGATTCAAACCCACAGCACTCGCTGCCGACAGAGATTCAATGGAATAATTGTGATCCCATTTAGAAACCAGTTACACAATCTGTGAAGATAATTTGACAGTATTTTATTCTTGTTTTGTTATCTATTTATTTTATGTTTGTTTTTCTTTTTTCTATTTGTTTGTACAAAATATTTATCATAAACTTTTATACATAAATTTAAAATTTGCTTTTTTATTTATTTTTTAAAGAGGCTGCTTGTGCAAACTTCAAAAACAGAGATAAGGACATCTTCACAATGTCAAGCTCTTACAAACTTCGTTTAATACCTTGATGGCCAATATCTACTCTTCATCATCGAATACAGCCGGTCATAGCCCAGACAGGATGGCCCACAACAGGTCTATGGTGGTTTACGCCAGCAAAAACAAATAGCTAGATAAAGGATACAAACTACCATGATGGATACAAGAAGAGTAGTTATTGCAGTTAGGTCTTAAGACACAGTTTGTGGTTCTACTCACAGCAGTTATCTCCCCTGTTCTGCAGTATAAAGACTTCAGATAGTATGCCTGAATTGAAATGAGTTATACATCCTACTTTTCTGCACCATGTGGGTTAATGAAGACAAAGATAGTATGCTTGGATCAGATCCAAAGTTAGTATGGCAAGTCTTACCAATATCTGTATTGGTCAATAACAGCAGCCAGTTTTCATGTTGAAGGGGAATTTTTGTGGCCAAAGGGCTCCCCCTAATCAGAAGACAAATAAAAACAATGTAAAAATCCTAGGAATTTATTGGAAAATGAGTGGCTGAACATATCAATACATTTGAATATTTTAATTTTCATTTCACATTCAGCCTTCTGAAATAATAAAACAGAGTTTAACTTCACAGAGTCTTTCGATGCAGAGAAATACAATCAAATATTGTTACATTGTGTTAACTTTAGACTATAGACTTGGACCATTAGAAGTAGAATATTAATTCATAATTTCATCTGATTGAATGATGGAGTTAACATAAACAATACACCAAAAATTTACTAACAATAGTTGATTATTTTCCTGTATGTAATTTATGATATTTATATTAACTTAACCATTAAAAATCAAAAACTGGCTTAAACTAATATCAATTCAATCTCAATTTAAAATATTTCCATGCTGTCAATAATAAATTTAATATCTGATCTTGAATTCAAGTTAAAACTGACCCTAGAGAATCAATATCAACATTTCTAATCTATCCTAGTCATAGTCTTTAAAACAGCCTAACTCTTTACGTACATGGGACCTGATCATCACCATGCACAAGTTCAACTGTTTAAACCTCAGATTTCAGTCAAATTGTGACAAATTTTAAATTTGCTAATAAGCAAAGACAACCAGCAATTCATCACAAATTCGACTTCCTTCTTAAGATCTGAGTTAACAAAATATTAAAGTTCAAGTGTATTTCTCTGATAGTTAAACTATATGTGTGTTTGTATATTGCAATGATATTAAACATAACAACAATGTTTATAAATTGATGTCATACCTTCAACTGTACCACTGAGTTTCTTGAAAAATTCTTGAAAGACTGTTGGGATGTTTGATACTGCTGAATATTCGTTAAAATTAAAAGGCATTTGGCAGACTTCTATAATATTATTCTGGATTTCTATTTAGGTCAACTCAAAAAAATGCATGTGCATAATAAATTAATAACTTTTAGATGTTACTGACTCGCTAAAAACGGCACGATTTGGTCTTGTATCAACCCATTATGCCAATTAAGATGCAACGTATTATATTTTAAAGAAAACTCAGAATGGTACAGTTACCACGACGACAATTGATGAAATTTGCCACAATTTTTATGCCACAGACTAGTCGGAAATATAATTTGAAATGATGATGTAATGTACAATGGGAAATGGATAAATAATGACATTAAATTTCCAGTTTTTTAAGCCGATTTCTCAAGTATTTTGTAGAATTTTGAAAAAGTGAATATCTTTGGAAATAACTTAATCTTAGTGAAATTTTTCACTCACTTTTTCAAAAACTCAACGAAATTGCAAAGTTTGAAAATCTCAAAACAAGATAACATGCAAGAAAACCTGTATGAAACTTCAGTTACGCAAATCAAATATTTCCACAAAATAAACCCAAAAAATCAGTCACAAAATGATGGTCCTGCAAAGAATAAAAGAACACTTCTGATTGGCTGAATGAGATCAACTTGTAACTAAAAATATCGTAAAAGGATTCAAAATGATTCGTTTCAAAATCGCAATTTTTCATTAATAAATAAAACCTAGATAGAGAATGATTATTTCTTTCAGGGCATAAAATTTAATATTTTCGATTTTTCGGCCTTGAATAAACAAATCACTGATGAAAGCATTCAGAAAGAACAATTCAAGTCTTTTAGCACTAAGATATCGTATCACTTCAAATCGAAAAATTTCCAGAAATCAGACTGCCAAGGAATGTACAATGCCAAAAGCAGATGGGAATAAAACTACGCAAGTTAAATTATGTCGGGTAACGTGTGTTGCATAGTCGCTCGATTAATTTTCCGTGATTTTTATAGATCGTAATCCTAGATTATTTCAAAAATTAATCAACCAAAATTAAATAATATATATATTAACAGTTTTTGTATTTTTAACAGTAGGAAAATACTTCTCCACAATTTTCTACATACAATAAAATATACAATTCCTCAAAAAACGGTGCAGTTTCTTACATCTATATTTAAATGCCACCAAAAAATGAACATTTTAAAACTTTTTTGTGGCATTTTTCCTTTTATTTTTTTTTTTACACTTATACAAAGACATAACATCACACTTTACACAAAAGAAAATATGCAATTTAGCTGTCAAACGGACCTCGTACACGTAACCTACTTCAGACGCACATATTATTGGATGTTACTTAACCAACGACTACCAATTGAGACCGGTTCTGCGCACAAAATCTTCTGTACAAGTTAAGAAATTGGTAAACATTGGTTCTTCATATGCACCATCTTTTTTTTTATCGCAGAAAGAAACTTCGCTATTTAACAAAATTCCCAACGCGATAAAATGGCTTCCCTTTATTTAGATGTTAATAAATATTAAATAAGTTATAATGAAAGCAAAGTGAAGATGAAATTGTTTTGGTTCGTGTAGAGACAGCCCGCTGTAAACTTGAATTATTTTTAATAAATTAGTTTAGTAGGAAGAGAGCAATAAAAACCGATATGCCATACTTGACAGCTGAAAATTGCATACTTTCTAGTTTAAGCACCATACTATCAACGTCGTGTTGGACCAAAACCGCCTCTGTCTGAATTGCCGCCTCGACCGCCCATTGAACTACCTCCACGTCCCTCATTACGATTTCCAAAACCTCCTCTCATGCCTCCTCGGCTGAATCCACCAGATCCTCGTCCCATCCCACCAGAATTCATACCGCCTCTTGACATTCCACCACGCCCCATATTGGGTCGGTTTCCATCTCTGGGTTTCTTTTCTTCCACGTTCAAACGATGTTCACCATTAAATCGGATTGGCTGAAATAAATAATATTCAGAGTTTTGAGTCACTAAAGATGAAATGTATCAGCCACCTCAAAAAGACAAATTGTAGAAAGGGCTAGCTGTATTTGGGGAGAACATTAAACCCCGCAGTATTTTTGCTAAATAATTTTTGTTACCTACTAATAAAAGTAAGGGGAATAACTCACCTTAATGCTAAGAATGTGCTGAACTGGATCAGGATTCTCAAATACAACAAAACCAAAATTCTGAAAAAAAGATAACAGATGTTTGAAGAATTTAATAACCAAATAAACTTGATTTTTATCAGAATAAACACAGTACTGTACAGAATCTGTTTTACAATTTCATAGCAATGATACACCTTAACAAATTTGATACAAATTGTACTACATGTTAAATGAATGGACATTTAAAAGATGAAATTTTCTGCCAACATTTTATACAATTGGTGGGAAATTCAGATGCAAGTGTCAACAGCATGAGGCTATTTTTAATCAATCATATAAAAAATAAAGGCAAACATACTGGAACTTTTCCACCACTACTTTTAGTGTTAATTCTTAATTCCATAACAACTCCATATTCTAAAAGAAAAAAAATCAATAAAATTCAATCTATATACACAATTCTTATCTATTCACCAAAAATCCAAATTCTTTGCTTTGGACATTCTTTCTTTAAAGACATTATTGTGGACCTGCCACTAAAACCCTTTTGGGATGGTTTTAATTTAGTTTGTCAACTCCTTCCACATATTGGCATCCTTTTTCTATTACTTAGAACAAAACTATGTGTCAGCAATTCTGCTTTGACTACAATACAGAATCCCCTGGTTAAACTCCAGCAATTGATATTCTAAAATAATTTTCTACTGCTTTTAACATGACTTACGCTCAAAGAATTTTTTCAGTTCACCCTCTGCGATATTATGGGGAAGATTTCCCACGAATAATTGGTGACTGTCAGGGTATCGGGTCATTCTACGTCCACTCAGACTGTCGTTATCACCATCGCCTTCTCGTCCATCTCGACTAAAACTACTGGTCTTCTCTCGTTCTCTTCGGTCTCTAGGTACAGGTCTGAAAATATGCATTTATATACTGTTACAAAACCTTATTAAACTAATTCATCAAATGAGTTTCCTTGGAACTTTACTTGCCTTTAAAATTCACATTGTTATTCTCCATTATTATTTTTTATTATTAAACACAGAAAGATATGTAGAGCAAAGTTATTATGCACAAAGTTGTAGTAGTTGAAGTAGTTATCAACACAATGTCAGTTTGGTCTGCATAGTTTTCAATTACTATTTATTCTATCTATAAATAAAGTAAACAGTGTATTTTCATGTATAAAATCAGATCCCATATGAGCACAAATATCAATGACTAAATTCCATTTCATTTCATATGAATACCAGGTTTGATTTGTTTTTTTATTTATGACAGGATTTCACCTACCTTGCTTGTCTCTGTGGCTGGGGGTGTTCATTATTCTGATCTGTTTTTGAATCAGTCTGTGAAACTGGTTGCTGTTTGGGGGGTGCTGTCACCTGACTGGCAGGGGGAACATGACCTCCTGGTGTTTTCTTACTGGCCAGGGTAGCCCACGTGAATGGCTTTGGTTCTGCTGAAAAATAGAATTCAAAAATCTTCAAAATTTCCTCCAAATATACAGAAATTGTTTTTATACAAGTCAATATATCAAAATAGTTATTCAGATCATTTTCACACCGAATTTTTTCCTGAAATTTGGTCCAGAACTTGCAATTCTTTACCAATTTTCAGATGTGTCAAGTAGGCAGCTCAGCTAAAATTATCGTCAACCAACAGGTCAGACGCAACTTACTAATTAAACATCATTGCAACCTAGTTTTTACATCCTTCTTTTCTACAACTAAATGGGATAATGAAGTGTGCAACAAGGGAAATTTTGCTAACACCATTAAATAGATTTGAGACAGCTCAGCTAAAAATATCGTCAACCAAACAGGTCAGACGCAACTTACTAATAAAACATCATTGCTGCTCTCATCTTCAATTCTATATTATCATAATTTATAACTTAAAGACTTAAGAACTTGGGACAAATTTCCATCATATTAGGTCAAGCACTAAATGCCAATCATATTTTTATTTCTTTGAATAAAGCTGTTTTGCTTCCATAAAATTCACAGCCTCAAACGAAGCTATTTGGTCAAGAGAACCATGGTCCTATCTATTCGTTGATAACTGGACTTTGTTCAAAAAAACGGACAGTGACCCTGCACTTTATAGGGCCAATAAATTCTTGTACAATTCAACAAACATTGAACACAGCTTACCTGGGGGTTCATCTTCAACCAAAGGTTCAGGGGATTTAGAAACTGGTTCCTCTTCATATTTATCTTCTTCAATTTCTTCTTCCTCTTTCATCTCCGCCTCCTTCATTGGGGGAGGGGATTCCATAGGTTCTGTGACATGCGACGTTCCATTGCTACAAACATAAGATATTTCACTACAGTACTTATTTCCTGAGAAGTGTGTCTGTCACTTGTGGTGGGGGTTTTATCTGACAAAGACTACTTAAAGGGACAGATGCACCATTTTTTTTTTTACCAATCATACTTTAGTCTCGGAAAGGGGATTTTTTTTTAGCCAAGCCGATCAGTAATAGTGTTCACAGCTCGCCGGCAGAGTTTGATCCTTCAAATCCATGTCCAGAATTATTGGTGTTTGCAAGGATTTGTGATTTAAAGATACTCTCTCTGTGATAGAAGACATATATACCGGTAGTAATAGTGAGTAAAATTCCTAGTTTAATTTTTTAAGGAATTTTGCGATTTTTCTGAAGACTATTTACATATATTCAAGACTAAAATCAACCCCCCAAAAAGATATGGGGGAATGAAAAATTGAAAAAGTAAACTATGAATCTGACAAAATAACGGACCTAATTAATATGCAAGTAAATTTATTACCTCATGGGTTGTTCTGCGTAGAAATTGGTTGGTTCTACTGGATTCTCCACTGGCTGTCCATTCTCAACTTCTGATTCCGCGTCTGAAAGTAAGGACCAAAAAAATAAAATTTAACATGCATTATTGACTATTAAACTATCTCATTTTTGCCCGTCTTCATAAGCCCACATGGTGCAGAAAAGTAGGACGTAAAACTCCATTCATTTCATAGGCTTACTTTACTCCTTTTCGCGACACTTGCCACAACAACAAAGCCCAGTACAGCTCCAACCTTTTTATCAATAAATGTGCCCATTAAGAAAAGCACTGACTGTCAAATTAGCCAATCAGAATACTTACCACATTCCTCTGTAATATCGACTTCGCTATCCTCGTTGTCATGGAAAACCTCGTCCTGGTAACGGAATATATCATTATGAACGTAATATTTTTTAGGAGATTGGGGAGCCAGAACAAATGTCTGCATGAATCTTCTCATCTGTTGGCCGTTATTTGATAGCTCTCCTGTTACCTGAAATGAAGAAAGAATGTGATGAAATGAAAGTAGAATTGCTACTGAATCACTCCACTACCCTTACCTTAAGGGCTTCCAGAAAATCTCACTTGGGCATTATCTCAAAAATTTACTCCCCATAATCTTGGTGATTTTTGTCTGGGGTTTAATGCTACTCAACTTCAGAACCACGACCATATTCTCCCGTAGAAAGAATTAAAAGTTTGCATTTTGTAGCTCAGGAATAGATGTCGTCACTTTCTTTCAGACGCAACTTACAAGCATCATTGCTACAGAAATAAACTCTTTGATACAACACCCACTTCTCTTGCGATTTCGAAGGACAAGGTTGTCATTCCAGCAATGATAGCAAATATTTTTAATTTTTCAAAACCTGTTTACATTTTACAGAAGATGCAGATTAGGACAGATATATCGAATATGCAGTCTACGAATGTATTGAACAGCAATTCCCCATCTGACAGGCAAGGGACAGGATTGAACCATGTTTAACTCACTGAGCTCCCATGCCCAAAATTTAAAAGACGCAAGATACTAACCTGAACTACTACAGCATCACCAACTGTAGACTGGCTGTCAACTTGTCTGATTTTAGCATGACAATCTCGGAAACTTAACGACATGATCTTCTTATGAATCTCCTGCAAACAGAAAACATCAAATGGTTATCCTTCATAAAGCTCAAACTTCTCGAATAAATTAGTCAAGTTCCTCACCTATAGTTGCCTTCATTTCTTTCAAACTTCAACATAAATTCATGTAGCAGAGGGAGTCATGATTTTTCTTGTTACTTCGAAGCAGGTGGAGACTCTCCATTTAAATCTCTGCATCCAATTAGCAAGCTTGCTGTTTACATGCTTTTTTTCTATCAGCCAACAAAAATCTTCACGGACAAGGGCTATCGAACTTATAGACTATCAGTTCTCCAAAATGTCTAATAACATCAAGATATTAAAGAAGTTCGTAATAGCTCAAATTGTAAAGATGGGGAAGAACTATTATCTATGTATACTTACAGTTTGGCCAGTAACTGGGGGTTGTTCCTCACCAGGTTTCTCCACTCCACCATGAACAAAACAGGAATCATGACTGTAGAATCTATGGAGGTGAATGGGGGCTTCATGAAGCAGGGTGTAATACTGCCTCACAAATTCTCGACCAACACATTGTGGGCTTGGGGTTTCCATGACCATGACTTTATCTGTACAGGGACAAGTCAATCTGAAAGAAAGAGGAATGGGATTATTTTTGAGACAGGATGTAAGTTCAGTTAACAAGCTTTTCAATGTTTCTGCAATGAAAAAAATGTTTAATCAAGCAACAATGTTCAAAAAACATATTTCAGCTATATCATACCGGAACTTATCAATAATTGATGTAAGCTTATGTCATCAATGTAAGTTCTAACTTAAACAAATAAACACACAACCTGGTCCAATGATATACCATTTACTTAAAAATAGAAAAGAGCTTGTTCAACTCCTATATTTATAAGTTTATTGAAAATGTATTGTATTTTCACTGATTACTGACCTACTTTCTATACAAAGAAATTATAAATCTTGGAGAAATTGACTATCAAGAATAACAACTTTTTTTTAAACAATACAAGTATGAAGAGATGGTATCTATTCAGACAGTGAAATCGTATTATACAATGCATCATGCTACGCCCCAATGATAAAATAATCTTATTCACAGAATATTTTGAAATAAAAGCCATGTATTTAACGTTATCTCATAACATTAACAATGAACGATCATGCAGATAGTGTTAACAATACACCTACATGTTTGCATAACAGAAGGCTATAAATCAAATTCTTAAATCTATTATACACCATAGGCCTTACAAGACAAGTTTTCAAGCAATGCAACCACAATTGTATCCTGAATATATTTCTTCGAAATCAACAAAATAAATCCTGATAGACTTGATTCAAATTATTGTAGTAACCAATTAAAATCTTTAAAATAAAATAAGGTTCCAATTAATTGATTTGAGATCATCTCATGATAATGATTTATCCAATTATTAGGTCTAGTCATCTAGAACCAGCAAGGTGTTTAAGGCCTTATAGACCTTTGATTGGATGCTATTGTTATTAGAATTGACATCACTGGGTCACAAACTGATTACATCCAATCAACAAAAACTCTTACAACTGCGGGTTCTATTAGGAATCAAATTCAGGGCAGGGACTGGGCTAGTTTGTTACCTGTGGCTGTAAGATCACAGGAATTTATCTCCTCCCTCCTCCTCAGACGAAAGGCGTGTTGAAACACGTGGTATATTCAATGAAAATTTTCCCAAATTTCGACACAATAAAAGACATTTAGCAATGGAATTAAACGCGACACACTTTCAATGGAAAATATCAAGAATGACGTAAGCTTTTCCATCATAATTTACGTATTTATCACGGAATGAAAACACAAAAAGATGATTTTTTCGTCACAGGAAGAAAAAAACCGGCGATACTTTCGAACAAAAAATGGCCTTATTCTACGTTCTAGAAATAAATACTCACCTAAAATTGATCAATTACGGGTCTTGGTACTAAAATATTATATAAACATTGAATAATGGATACTTCAATGCCTAAATTTTAGAATAATTCAGTGTTTTTAGTTGTAAAATTTTCGAGGTTGCACATGCATCGATGCGCAGAAGTGGTCTAAGGTAATTTCTGTCGGCGCATGACAGGAACCCCGTGAAATAATAAAATAAAACCCCAATATGGATTCCGCCCTAATCGAGCATAAATAAATACAATAAATTTTACTTTCAATGGCAATTAAATTTAACTTTGTCTATTTTCACAAATAAGAATTTCATATGTCTTATTTTTTCACCGTTCAAGGATTTCCATAATTATAAATATTGTCACACCTTTGCAGTTTTGTTTGGGCAGCTACACCTGTCAACTTTTCTAAGTATGCTTGTTCCATGGCCGTATTCAAGAAATCGTAAATATAAAATTATCTTTTTTAATAAAACACAAAATATCTTCCGTAATTTAATTATGTGAACTTTTTTATAAAAAACGAAATATGATTTTGAAGCTTTCAGAATTCAACTTTCTCGAATTTCCTTCCGCGATTTCCTTAATCCCGTTGCCATAGGTTACGGCATCCATGGAGCTAAAGTAGAAGTAGAGCCCAGTCGATTTTCAGTTCAATTTGTTGTTTATTTAGAAAGGAACAAAACTAAATTTGTCATCCGAATTATCAAAAATGGCAAACGCTTATCATATGGATGCCTTGAGGAAGCAAAGAGTTCTTGACAGAAAGAACGATGCCCTGAGACGAATGATGAATGCAGGTTCCGAGGTAATTGTTCATGTACTGTATATTCTCGAGACAATGCGCACTTTGTATAATACGCACCTAAGTATTGTATAATTTGGCAATACGTTGTTTTGGGTTTTGTTTTGCGGTTAGGTTTGTTAGTACCTGTGTTCTGTAGCCAAAAGAACAATTTATGCTTTGATTTTGTAGGACTCTGTACCAGGAGATATTGTACAAAAAGCTCTTCAACAGAGTACAACAGATGGTTTGGTTACCACGGATATGGGCCAATATAGTCAAGTCAGGTTGGTAGTTTTATTTTAACACACTTTTATTCTCTGATCACTGTGGTTTTTCGAATTTTATTTTTGTAATGTTTAAATTATGACAAAATTACATTATGCAAAAAAAGAGTTTGCTCTATCTTCAAAGTCCAAAAGTTATTTAACAGGCAATAGAAAACACTCCTAATTTTGCAAATGAACTATCTGAAAATACATAATACTGTGGAAAGTTTATTGAAAGAATGTATGTGTGGAAGAGTTCATTAAAGCATTGAGGGGTGTCAAAGCTTAATTGCAATCTATAACTTATCTTCGAAGGTTTGCAATGAACATTTTATTATACTCGAAAAAATGGACAATGTTACATTGGGCAAAAACAAAATCACTGAAAAAATTTTCAGTATGTTTCCTTTTTGTACCCTGAAAACATTGAACAAAAAACATTGCTGTATGAATAACTGTACAAAATGATATTCCAAAACCACAGAACTCAGTTATTCAGATGCATTTAACGTTTTTGATGTATGAAAAAGAATAATATTAATTTGTAGTAAATATTGTTTGGTTTGTAGTGTTTCACCACCTAATATCATTTTACAATTCTTATATTTCGTTAAAATTATTAAATTCTCTATATTAAAACCTATGTATAATGTGACTTAGTGAAATAAGGGATCAGTAAGTGACTCACCCCTACATCCCAAAAATAGATCTTAAGCTAATAAATCATTAAGACTTGTCTGTGTAGTTATAAGTTATTAGAAATTCTGATAGACTGTTGATTGTGTAGGAATAGATCAGTTCAGTTTTTTCTTTGCGAGTTTCCATTGCTAAACCCATCTGGAAAACATGATACTACTTCATGACTGTATTGAATGGTATAAACTTATCAGGCATACCTTTCAGGTAGTTAATCCAAATTTGTCTTTGCTGTGTTGTAGTTCTTGCATCTGTCCTGGTAAAATTTCCCTCATTGCACAGTGCATTGAGACTTGATTTCATTAGCCTAGGCACATGAAGGCAGGGTTTAATACTATATTTCATTTCATTATTCATGAAACCGGACAGTTACAACTTCTCTCATTGCACCATGCAATGTCTCTCCCTTACGTGAGCCCAGGCGTGCGGTAATAGGGGTACAAAGCCAACGTTCAGGAACCCTAGTTGTGGCATTTGAATTTCCTGATCTTCAGATCTTTGAGGGGATTAAAATCCACAACATAAATCTCCTCAAAGCAGACCACGATCCAAATGGCTACCGTAGTAAGGTGTAAAACTCCATTTCATCTCTTTGTAGGCCTGATGCACATATAATGGGTATAACTCACGATACCAACTTTAAATACCGAGCTTTGAAAGGAAGTGGTGCCGAACCAATCCATGTTGATACTATTTATAAAATAATTTATCCTGGAGCTTATACCACAGTCAAAGTAGGTTTTCAATCTTCATTAAAATCTGTTAGTTAATAGTTTCGTTTTCTTGTTGACTGAAGATTACATTATCATCACATTTTCTAAATTTTGATTCCTTGGTTTGTATGAAAATTGCTAGTATAAGGTTTTATAAGAGAAACTCTCTTATAGAAGCACTGGCCTAGGTCATAAGTAGGGACTGTGGTTTTTAGCATTGGAATACATCAATTTTATAAGAAATTACCTACTTCTTGAGAGGTTTACAAGATAAACAAATAATTCAGAAATGCAAAGCGATTGTTTGCTATTGTGATATTCATGATTCCAGAATTAGGACTGTTTTTATTAAAGTGATTGTAAAGAGGTTTTCTAAAATCGCTATGTGTATAGGGGACACTGATAGCATCAATTTGCACCATTCCAATTTTCATTCTGACATCTGTGGTTCCTGCAATTCCACTAAAACTAATGCGTTATATGACGTCACTAGAAGGGAGCTACCGGAAGCTACTGTTGATATCTATGTAGTTCTCCTCTAGTGAAGTCATAGAATGTGTTAGTTTTAGTGGAATTTCAAGAGCCACAGATGAAAATAATGAAATGAAAATGAACAGTGTAAATTGATACTGTCAGTGTCCCTGATACACATAAACATTTTAGACAACCTCTTTACAATCTCTTTAAGGAACTAAAATGACTTATTTTGTATAATGATATAGTTTTAAATATTAAGAATGAACTCTTGAAGACTAATAACGAGTGAATTAATTGTAATAAATAAACACTATTTTGCAAATAAACAAATCCCACTTAGAGAAACAATAACTCAGATAGTGATATATCTTTAAGATGTCAACCAACATAATGAAGAGTATTTTGTAGAATAAATGAAACCAGGCTAATATTAGATCAAATATTATTATCATTAGCCCAAATTGAATGTAGTTCATGTAGGGTTATAAATATTTTTGGCGGCCTAGAAGCACAACATCTAAATATAAACCATGTCCTCCATCTAATTTAGATGTTTAAATACTTTCAGAGTTCCACTTACAAGGTTTAGAGTAAATGAAGAAGGATTTAACAATCGTTACCGTAGTGATCCTAATATTAACCCCCATTGTGATACTATTTATAGCACTATTTACCCCGGCAGTGATGATATTGAATATAAGGACACGAGAGAGAAAATAAACCGTCGTGAAAATCTTAGCTTGGATCGTTATAACGTAACCAAACATATAAACGGAGAGTTTCATATGCGTTGTGTAGCGGCCATTCCTGAATAATACACATGATAAATTGGCAGGAGTCAGTGGAAGGGGGTGGGGGTTTATAGTATTAACACACACAACATATTTCACAGCCATTTAATCTCTACCTCAACTTAATAAGTAGAATTCTTCAAGTCATTTTCATAACCTCAAAAGTGATTTGAAGTCTTTGTTGAAATATTTTCAGTCTTCCTAAAAATTCATCTTATTAAGTTGAGGTATAGATTCAAAATGATTGTTAACTATGTTCATGTGTGTTATTTCCATGTAAGAACCATACGTAGTAGTTTGGTATGGTGATATTCACAGTTTTAACATTAATTTCAATAGAGGTGTGATCCTTGTTGTATTTATTACATTTGCTTCCTTTACAAATTTATTATAATAACATTGAGGTGAATGTAGATATCTTAAGGTGTTGCAAAAATTATCGCAGTTATTGGTACTACCCTTGTGTTGTACCTTTGTGATCTGTTTTACCCAGCGCGTCTATGAAACTGGTGCTCAATAACACTAGCTTTTTCTAAACTTTCTTTCCTCCTTTGCTTTCAGACTACCAAAAATTGACAAAGTATATTGGCTTGTAGCGAATGGAAACAATAACAAGAACAGCAGTCTTCCATTGAAAGAGTACAGTCCCTTGCCAGCGTCGTTTCGAAATATAAAAAGGGACACAACCTATACATTGTTTCATTCTTACGAATTTTATCAAGATTAACCTCCCCTTTCACCTTCCATTTTCTGAGACAATTGTATGTTGAGATGTTGAGACCTGTGATTAATTTTGGTTTGCTTAAAAAGGAAATAAGATTTTTTGGGAAACTGACTTTCGAGCTTGGTTTCTCCACAGAACACAAAATTATCAGTGTATATTTTAAAGAAATATTTTTAATGAATTGTTCCTTTTTTCTTTAACTTAGTGAAGCTTAAACTTTATCTAATCAAAGCTTAATTATAGATCTTGATCAAAGGGACCATGATGGTAATGGACATTATTTTGGCCTGAAAATGTGATTTGCACTCTAGCTTCAGAAAAACCAAATTTTGACCTTTTAGGTTCAAATATTGCAGATCTCGAAACATCCAGTTGTCTAACTCACTGTTATCTTTTTAACGTTTGATTAATATGCTAATTGTGTGCCGCACCTAATCTAAATTAACATATTTTCAGGGGAAATAATCACACAAGCCTATATTTAAGAACGAACCACGCAGCCAACCTAGCAGAAGATAAGATTAACCCTATTTTACATCCTGTTCCTAAACAGAGAGAACCTATTGAGTTACCTCCTAGAAAACAACATTTTAAAGTTTAAATTGTCTTTTGTTTGCATATTTTGAGGAATATTTTTTTGTCCATTATCTTAAATTAATTTATTCAAGGCATAATATCATCTAAATATTTACTTTACCAGCTGATAGAGCTCAATATCAGCTGTCTGTATAGTCATCTAAATATTTACTTTACCAGCTGATAGAGCTCAATATCAGCCGTCTGTATTGTCATCTAAATATTTACTTTACCAGCTGACAGAGCTCAATATCAGCCGTCTGTATTGTCATCTAAATATTTACTTTACCAGCTGATAGAGCTTAATATCAGCTATCTGTATAAACATCTAAATATTTACTTTACCAGCTGATAGAGCTTAATTTCAGCTATCTGTATAGTCATCTAAATATTTACTTTACCAGCTGATAGAGCTAAATTTCAGCTATCTGTATAGTCATCTAAATATTTACTTTACCAGCTGATAGAGCTCAATATCAGCTGTCTGTATAGTCATCTAAATATTTACTCTACCAGCTGATAGAGCTCAATATCAGCTGTCTGTATAGTCATCTAAATATTTACTTTACCAGCTGGTAGAGCTCAATTTCAGCTATCTGTATAATCATCTAAATATTTACTTTACCAGCTGATAGAGCTCAATATCAGCTGTCAGTATTGTCATCTAAATATTTACTTTACCAGCTGATAGAGCTCAATATCAGCTGTCAGTATTGTCATCTAAATATTTACTTTACCAGCTGATAGAGCTCAATATCAGCTGTCAGTATTGTCATCTAAATATTTACTTTACCAGCTGATAGAGCTCAATTTAAGCTATCTGTATAGTCATCTAAATATTTACTTTACCAACTGATAGAGCTCAATATCAGCTGTCAGTATTGTCATCTAAATATTTACTTTACCAGCTGATAGAGCTCAATTTCAGCTATCTGTATTGTCATCTAAATATTTACTTTACCAGCTGACAGAGCTCAATATCAGCCGTCTGTATTGTCATCTAAATATTTACTTTACCAGCTGATAGAGCTTAATATCAGCTATCTGTATAAACATCTAAATATTTACTATACCAGCTGATAGAGCTAAATTTCAGCTATCTGTATAGTCATCTAAATATTTACTTTACCAGCTGATAGAGCTCAATATCAGCTGTCTGTATAGTCATCTAAATATTTACTCTACCAGCTGATAGAGCTCAATATCAGCTGTCTGTATAGTCATCTAAATATTTACTTTACCAGCTGGTAGAGCTCAATTTCATTTAACTGTAATACTTCTCAGAATAAAAATCTTAATTCTAGTTAATCTGCAATCTATGTTTTCAAATTGCACTTTAACCTTACATCAGAGTTTAAATTGAAAAGTGATACAGATAGCTGAAATTGAGTTACATCTATTGATTAACGCAAATATTTAGCTAAATATACCCCTATAAACCCTAGTCTGTCTGGCATCTTTACACTATCAAGCTATGTCACTGTGTCTTATAAGTAAAATCTTATATTAGCTTGATAATTATTGTGAAGATGCTTGCCTTGTGAAGCAGCCAATGTCAATATACTTCACATAATACGAATGCATTTGTTGTAAGTCATATAACCTTTAATTCAGTGTATAGAACTTGTTATTATATTCATACTCAGTGTTCAAAATGTAAAGTCAAATCAACATATTAAATGATATTCTATTGATTTTAACAGAGAGAATACTCAATGGACTGGAAGAGAGAGAAACAGACGTGATTTCGATCATAGTCGAGATGGTCCAGTCCTTCGCCAGTCCTGGGCTAGTCTTCGATCTGAATACGGCTTACGGAAACATACAGCACCAGCTCTGGGAGGGACAACTTTTATCGATATGGTTATGAATAGATAATTATTTAAGTTCTGCAACCCACAAATTTTCTTTGGAAACATTCTATGTCTCTCTGCAGTTGTCCCCCTTTTGTTAACCAAAAAAGTAGGTTTTTGAAACTTCAATTCATTGGGCATGATTTCTTTCAATTTTTCTAAATGTGTGTTTTAATTTAGCTGAATGTTTGAAGAGCCCTTGTAGAATATTGTTGTTCAGTGTTTCCCAAATATTCCTTTTAGAAATATTATGCCTTATATTCTGGGAGACCAAAATTATTTTTTTTTTTTTTTGATCAACATAAATTGGAATTACAATCATGCAGATTGGCATCAAATTATATCAATATCATAATAATAATTAGTGTAGCTCATTAATATTTTTGCAACACCTTAAATTTGTTTATAAATTTTTATTTTTGTTTGGATATTGTTTTGATCTTTGTGTTATTATTATATTTAGTAGGTTAAGTATGTTTATACACATCCATGGATGATTCCATTTTTCAAAGAGGAACAGTCTATTTTATTTTGAGGTTTATGATTTGAATTGACTGTGTTCTATTTGATCAGAATAAGAAAACAATTTCATCTTGTTTTTTCGGAAATGTATTTTTTTCATATTTCACTGAAGACCAAAAAAACCCCCAAAAGAATGAAAGAAATTGTAGTCTAATTTTAATCAATATTATTATTATATTACGTATCAGTATTAGCACCAGAGTGTCTGCATTTTATTTGTGGTATAACTGTTTATTTCTCTACTACCCTCAGATACTTAGTGACGTTCCATTCCACACTTTCCTTACCCCTAGGAGAAACAAAACTTGTCCACATTCCTTTTTGCAAATTAACCAATCAGAAACTTGGTTACTGAGCAATGCTTCATATTTAGATCAGAAAACATGATGAAATGGAACATTGTGATGTCATGGGGAGTTCGTGTTTTTTTTTTAGGATTGTTATATTTTGTATTACGGTACTTATTAAATAAGTGAATTTGAGATTTTTCGTTGTTAAAATGTTTTGAGATTTTGCTTTGTTAAGTATTTTGAGATTTTTAGTGTTTATAAATGAAATGATTGATAAGACTAGGAAATTAAGCATTTTTTATCATAAATTTTGATTTTGTTTAAAGAATTGTAATAATAATAATAAAACTGTGATATTTGTAAATTGGGTGTGCTGTGATAATGTTTTTAGAACCAAAGATTTATCTTACATGTATTTTAACTTTTTATATTGTTTGTATTCATCATGAATAAATTATTTAATTTGTTGCAAATATTGTATTTATGACACCCACTAGCTTTTATTCAGCAAGTCTGGAATTGTTCTTTCCTAGATAATTAGCATAAATGATTATGATTATGCGCATAATTATCTAACAGAATGCATGGAATCTTTAAGCTAGCAGGGGGAATGAAATGATATGCAGGTGATAACATGTATGCAGTGTACCTATTCTAGAACATTTATACAGTGAATTGCATACTCAAAACATTTTCGTACAAAAAACAAATTCAGTGGAATCTTGCACTATATGAGATCAATGATGACTCACTGCAATCACATTTCTTAAAGGTGCGGGCACACGAGCAGTCTTGGTCGGAGACTTTTGTCGGCGATTAGAGTCTTCTCTTAAGTTTCTAAGACTGGCACAGACACACGAGGAGACAAAAATCTCCAGTCGATCTTTTTCCACTTGTAGATAATCACGTGCGGACCATGGAATTGAAAGGAAAATGAATCTGATTGGATGATGATGGTCTGTGATGATAAAACTATCAGAGACAATTATCAAACTTGTTTGATATCATAAATCTTGTTGTGGAAGCACGGGCACACGCAAGATTTTCCTCTAATGTTTCCTCATGTACCCGATATACATACAAGGTTTCGAAAACATCGAATAATCGGATAATTGTGGATAACCAAATGCCACTGATATAACAAGTCATCGGTTAGTGATAATACCTCGACTTCTTCATAATATCTTGACCATTGCCAAAACACGATTATAACTGCCCAAAGATTCTGTGAATTGAGGACTTGGCTGGTAAAATAAATAAATATGATTTTAGAAAGTATAATATTTTATTGTTCACATTATTTTTCTGAAACATTATAAATTCCTAAGGATTGCCTAGACGGTCTAGGCCTATTCCGTCCAAGAGTTGGTCTTATTCTGTCCCGACCCAAAGCTAATCTGGGACTCTCCTGTCCAAGAGTCGGTCTTGGCCTGTCTTGACGTGCAGTCGGTTTGGGCTTGACCTGACGCACAGCTGGTCTTGGCCTGTCTCGACGCATAGTTGGTCTAGGCCTATCCTGACGCACAGTTGGTCTGGGCCTGTCCTGACGCACAGCCGGTCTAAGCCTGTCCTGACGCACTGTTGGTCTAGGCTTTCCCTGACGCACAGCTGGTCTAGGCTTGTCGTGGCGCACAACCGGTCTGGGTCTGTCCTGGTGCACAACCGGTCTGGGTCTGTCGTGATGCACAGTCGGTCTAGGTCTGTCTTGACCAAAAGCCGGTCTGGTTGTTTTCTGACCTAAAGTCGGCCTAGTTTTACCCGGAGTGTCCCCACCCAATGCAGGCCTTTGCTTGTTTTGGCGCACTGCAGAAGTAGGTCTGCTCTGACGCACAGTTGGTCTGGTTCTGCCCTGAAGCACAGTTGGTCTAAATCTGTTCAGACCCAAAGCAGGTCTATTTATGTCTTGACCAATAGTCAGTCCAGTTCTGTCCTGCGTGTCATGACCCAATGCAGGCTTTTGCATGTCCTGACGTAGTGTGGGCCTGGGCCTAGGCCTGTCTTGACGCAAAGTTTGTCTGGGCCTGTCTTGACGTAAAGTTTGTCTGGGCCTGTCTTGACGCATAGTTGGTCTGGGCCTGTCTTGACGCATAGTTGGTCTGGGCCTGTCTTGACGCATAGTTGGTCTGGGCCTGTCTTGACGCACAGTCGGCCTGGTTCTGCCCTGAAGCACAGCTGGTCTGAATCTGTTCCGACCCAAAGACGGTCTATTTATGTTTTGACGAATAGTCGGTCCAGTGTCATGACCCAATGCAGGCTTTTTCGTGTCCTGACGCAGTGTGGGCCTGGGCCTGTTTTGATGCAAAGTTTGTCTGGGCCTGTCTTGACTCAAAGTTGGTCTAGGTCTGTTCCGACGCCCAGCCGAACTAAGCCTGTTCTGACGAACAGTCTGTCCAGTTCTGTCCCGATCCAAAGCCAGTCTTGTTCTGTCCCACGTGTTATGACCCAATGCAGGCCTTTGCGTGCCCCGACGTAGTGTGGTTCTTGGCCTGTCTTGACGCAAAACCTGTCTACCTCGTTCACGACCTAAAGCCGGCCTAGGCCTGTCTTGACCCGAGGCAGGTCTGGGCATATCCTGACGCATTGCGGGTGTAGGCAACACCGGTTCAGTACTATACCGAAGCAATGAATATCTTAGTATAGTTTGCTGTTTCCATGCATTAAGCCTCTCTAATCCCGAATCCGCTGCATTTCCACTATTTAATGGTTGTGTTTGATTCGTTACATTTCTTAGGTTTAATGGTTGACTTCGACCAGCTGCATTTCCAAGATTCGATGGTGGGCTCAGACCAGCTGCATTTCCATGATTCGATGGTAGGCTCCGACCAGCAACATTTCCAAGATTCGATGGTTGGCCCCGATCAGCTGCATTTCCAAGATTCAATGCTTGGCTCCGACCAGCTGCATTTCCAAGATTCAATGCTTGGCTCCGACCAGCTGCATTTCCAAGATTCACTGGTGGGCTCAGACCAGCTGCATTTCCAAGATTCAATGCTTGGCTCCGACCAGCTGCATTTCCAAGATTAACTGGTGGGCTCCTACCAGCTGCAATTCCAAGATTCGATGGTGAGCTCAGACCAGCTGCATTTCCAAGATTCAATGCTTGGCTCCGACCAGCTGCATTTCCAAGATTCACTGGTGGGTTCCGACCAGCTGCATTTCCAAGATTCGATGGTAGGCTCCGACCAGCTACATTTCCATGATTCGATTGTTGGCTCCCAGCTGCATTTCCATGATTCGATGGTTGGCTCCGACCAGCTGCATTTCCATGATTCGATGGTTGGCTACCAGGTGCATTTCCATGATTCGATGGTGGGCTCCGACCAACTGCATTTCCATGATTAAATATTTTGCTCCGATCCACTGCATACTTGCTAGAATTGAACATTTGGCTTTCATTTGAGTCCTCTCTAGAAACTGGCTTGACGAGACGGGAACCTCCACTAATCTGATCATCTCGATTCAATTCATCTGCAGGTTTCGTTTTATCTATCGACAGCCTCCTTCCTGTAGAAGAATAAAGAAATGAAAAGTTAATAAGCGTAACAATATCGACAAGCACTGTACCGATCTTTTGGAAAGCTTGTAGGCTTCTTGACCACCATAATGTTCTTAAAACAAATGTACCATTGTATTTGAATTTGGATAGAATCGAGCCAAATCAAAAACAATCGATTTTCAAAAGAACGATTTAGTTAAAATTAATGTCGGACAGTGGTATATATCTGAATACTAACCCAGTTTTTATAACTAGATTGTGTATTTAGTGTCACTACAGACCACTGTTAAATATATTATAACGTTATTCAATGGATTAGTCTACCTTTATGATAAATACCCTGTATATACCCCGGATTTCTAAATGGATTTGACAAATTTGTTTCACTTGTGGGCCATTGTTCTAAGTTTGTCTTTGGGTCCATAGAAATACAAAATAAGTCAATTGTATCTTAAAATGAACATCTTTCCGTTCCATTAATTTAAACTGAAGGTGGTCCAGATGACGGCCTGGAAATTTCACTTTCGTAAAATCAAATTAAAAAGTTGCTTACCTAAAGAAAGATCAAAAGCTACAACCATCATAACAACTACAAGACTGCTTTTCATGCTGAAGTTATACTATCTTCGTTGAAGATAAACTTTCAGAATCAGTTGATATTCTGTCGACAGATCAATCGTATATCAGGACCTATCCCATCGATCTAGCACGTGCAATGCGCGTCTTGTGAGATCACTCAAAACGAGGCAGATTATTTTCATCAAATCTTAAGGCCTGTATACACGGGGAATATTTCCCCAACATTTTTACGTTTTCAGGATGATGTTAAATGGTGATGAAATTGAAATGAATGGAGTTTTACGTCTTACTCTTCTACACCCAATTTGTTTAATGAAAACTATCAACGCCATTCAGTGTGCGATGAGGGTAATGTAGGATTTAGGCTGCTCTTTTTCAATTTCCAACTGTCGGGGGATCTTTAATGCGCACTTTGTACTGCTTATAGCACACGAGGCCTTTGGTTTGTTTGTGATGACGACAGAGTCTCATATAAGCACTGGTCTGGGCATATTAAAGTAAAAATTTATGATTGAAGTGTGAGTGAAAGGTTTATCAAATGATCAACAATACAGTCAATGGGTAAGCTATTCCGTTATTAATACAATCCCCAAGCATAACTTATGTTGAAACTGAGGTCACCGTGCACACAATCATCATGACTTACTCAATGATTTCTGATTAGATAACTCTGCAACATCAATTACATCTCGGTAACAAATGTATATTGAATTTACTTCCGCAACATTTATATACAGTCCCTTATTTTTACACTTTCGTAAAAATAATCTATGTAAGATCGTGAATCACTTAAAGCGATTGTAAAGAGGTTTTCTAAATGAAATATACTTGTATCATATAAGGCACTTCGGAAATAGTGACGTCATCAAACAATTAGTTTTAGTGGAATTGAAGGACATGTGATTGAAAATCGGAATGGAGCAAATTGAAGCTAACAGTGTCCCTGATATACATGCGGGGAACAAATAGGGGACAGACTGACTCGATAATGTTGACTGCTCGAGCTTTGATGTTTTTAATTGCACTCAACAAATACGGCGAATATCTGTGCTCGACTGTGATGCTTAGTTACGAACGCTCAAGAACATCTTAGAAGCAATGACGTTTCTATGGAAAACCAAGTGGCGTCTTGCTGTTCGAAACACATTTTTACTAGTCTAATACTTGCTGATTCTTACCCAGTCTCTGATTGTATACTAGTCTGAAACTTACTGACTATTACCTAGTCTCTGATAGTTATTATACTAGTCTGAAACTTACTGACTCTTAACTAGTCTCTGATAGTTATTATACTAGTCTGAAACTTACTAACTCTAACCTAGTATCTGATAGTTATCATACTAGTCTGAAACTTGCTGACTCTTACCTAGTCTCTGATAGTTATTATAATAGCCTGAAACTTACTGACTCTTACCTAGTCTCTGATAGTTATCATACTAGTCTGAAACTTACTGACTCTAAACTAGTCTCTGATAGATATTATATTAGTCTGAAACTTACTGACTCTAACCTAGTCTCTGATAGATATTATACTAGTCTGAAACTTACTAACTCTAACCTAGTCTCTGATAGTTATCATACTAGTCTGAAACTTACTGACTCTAAACTAGTCTCTGATAGTTATTATACTAGTCTGAAACTTACTAACTCTAACCTAGTATCTGATAGTTATCATACTAGTCTGAAACTTTCTGACTCTTACCTAGTCTCTGATAGATATTATACTAGTCTGAAACTTACTAACTCTAACCTAGTATCTGATAGTTATCATACTAGTCTGAAACTTACTGACTCTTAACTAGTCTCTGATAGATATTATACTAGTCTGAAACTTACTAACTCTAACCTAGTATCTGATAGTTATCATACTAGTCTGAAACTTTCTGACTCTTACCTAGTCTCTGATAGTTATTATAATAGCCTGAAACTTACTGACTCTTACCTAGTCTCTGATAGTTATTATACTAGTCTGAAACTTACTGACTCTTAACTAGTCTCTGATAGTTATCATACTAGTCTGAAACTTACTGACTCTAACCTAGTCTCTGATAGTTATTATACTAGTCTGAAACTTACTAACTCTAACCTAGTATCTGATAGTTATCATACTAGTCTGAAACTTACTGACTCTAACCTAGCCTCTGATAGTTATCATACTAGTCTAAAACTTACTGACTCTTACCTAGTCTCTGATAGATATTATACTAGTCTGAAACTTACTGACTCTTACCTAGTATCTGATAGTTATTATATTAGTCTGAAATTTACTGACTCTAACCTAGTCTCTGATAGTTATCATACTAGTCTAAAACTTACTGACTCTAACCCAGCCTCTGATAGTTATTATACTAGTCTGAAACTTACTGACTCTAACCTAGTCTCTGATAAATATTACACTAGTCTGAAACTTGCTAACTCTAACCTAGTCTCTGATAGTTATCATACTAGTCTAAAACATACTGACTCTTACCTAGTCTCTGATAGTTATTATACTTGCCTAAGCTCTGATAAAAATGTTTACTGCATCACTTTTCGTTTTTAGTAACAGATGTAATTTATTGTTTCATTAAAAATGGCGATTCTGCTGATATATCATAAACTATTGTCGACTGAAATAATTGATCAAATTGTGGATCTTTCGATGAATCATACCTAGTAATGTTATTAGCATTCTCGGCATTTAAAGAGACAGCTTCGCCATTATCGGAGGTTGATTTGAGTCTTGAATATATGTAAATAGTCTTCAGAAGTACAAGAATTATACCAAAATCGCAAAATTCCTTAAAAAAAAATACCTCAAACTAGGAATTTCATTTTTTATTTCTATATAATATGGTAGTGTCTCAAGAAATGACGATTCGACATTAAAACGCGGATAATTCTGGACACACACATAAATGGATTTAAAAGTTCACCTTTCGACGGTGAACTGTGAACACTATTACTGATTAGTTTAGCTAAAATAAACGAATGGCGAATCTGTCCCTTTAAATTTGAATTTCAATTCTGACGAACGAAGTTGTCCATAAAACCTTGGTAAGTTTTACATACGAGTTAAGTATTTTGACTATCTCTTATAATGAAGATAGTTCGTGGTCTCACATAATAGATTCGGGAAACTAATTCTCTTCGATTTACACAAGGAGCTCGCTTGGTCCCAATCTCCCCTACTTCCCCTTTCCAGTTTAAATACATAATTGATGTTTTGTTTGATAAATCACACACGACTTCTGCCTTTGATGCCAACATTTTATAGAATCTACAGACCGTAAAATAATTATACATGTAAGTCCGAGAATCTGTACTATGTGAATTGACATTAGACCGGTTTTTTGGTAGATGACAGGTTAACGTTCTCTTCCAGCACATAAAGGAGACATCGGGCTAATTCAAAAAGTACAAATTAAGCAACAATTGGACTAAGATTCATTCGACAGTTGAATTCGACTAGATCATATTGGAGGCGAGATGAAATTAATAATTTTATTAGGAATTTTTTTAGCAGTGGCCCTTCATCAAACACAAGGTAAGTTCAGTTTTCGGACTGATGGACTGACAATTGGAAGACCAAAATTTGGTGACTGAGAATAATGGTCTGATAAAAAGCAGGTCTAGGCCAGGACGTAAGATCTAAATATTTCCATGTGCTGTTAATTTGTATTTTGTTATATTTCTATATTTACAACGATTTGATACAATTTTGGTTGTTTGGTTAAATTAGCTGAATTTATGCTGGCCCGGTTTTGGTCCCCAATTCAAATTCTATCA